GCAGCAAAGGTATTCGTGGGCATCTGACCATGTGGGTGTAGCTGGTCTGATAATGTGAAATCTAATTGAACATGTCTGACTTACAGCTTTTCTCAATTGAATGAATAAGACTGATCCATACATGTACAACTGGTATAGTTCTTAAACTGTACATGTCATTTACGCTTTTTATTTATGGGAATTGTCATACATAAGGCTAACCTCCAATTTCCATTTGAAGAGGAATTTTTTTGTCATTATTACTAGTTGTATCTCCAGAATAAAATATTTTATTGTGTTGTATCAACTGGGCTTATCAAAGTCTGGAAAGAAAATTGTCATCAGAGTTACCATTGCCCCAGTTGTTCACATGGCTGTGCATGTCTCCAACCAATAGCCCAACAGAATAAGTAACTAATTACCTGGTAATAATTAGATGAGCTATTAAATGTTTGATTGGGTGGCAGTCTGGCTTTATGGTCTGATGAGCCATTATTTTACTGCAATAAGCTGCTCTTTAGTAGTCACTTTAATGAACAATAATTTGGTGACAGATGAATCAAGTCTCACATTGATTCCTAATCACTGTTTTGTGGCTTTAAAAGTGTTCACTTGGCACGGAGAGTTCTTCAGTTGGAAAGAGCCAACACTTCACTTAGAAATGAGATGGAAAGAGAGAAGAAAAAGAAAGACTTGCTGGGAAAAGAGGTGAAGACAAAATCATTATTTTAAATATGTGGCTATTGTCTCAGTCACAATACATTATGTAAGCTATCTGCAGTACACTTTATGTACTAAGCCAAAATTCAAGACAATTAAGGTTACTTTCTTTGGTAGCTTTCCAAGGCTACGTCACTGCTAAATGAAGCACAGCAGCCATACAACTATCTGATTGAGAGCATAAGAGCAAGGGATACACAGAATCAGACCCTTACTGAACAGCTCACATTGATGGAGGCAGAAATCGGGTGAGTCATGTTCACCATTCTGGTAAAGGGAGGTTGAAGAACCTTCAGAAATAAGTTGGTCCTTTTCCTGTGTGGTTATTTACAGTAATCTTGCTTGTACCTTTCTTTTACAATTATTATTATAATTATTTACTATAGAGATTATCATACAATGTATTTCCTTAGATTGATGCTACCTACTGGTAATTATATATTACCACTGCTTGCCCAAGAAAGCAATTAGATCAAGACATAAATTGAATGACTTTTTCCCTTCAAACAGGAAGCTGAAAACAGAAAAAGAAGATCTTGTTAAGACCCGCAATCAGTTATCTGCTGACTTGGAGAGACTTCTAAACCAGCGCGAGGTGAGGCTTACAGTGCATCTTTAGAGAAATCAAGAGTCCAAAAACTTTGTGATTTAAATTCCATGTTGGAACTCTCAAAGGCCTAAAAAAATTTAGATACTGTATTTCCTTGAATAAATGCCCATGCTCTAATAAGTGCCCTGTCAAAAATAAGCACCCACCCCTTAGGTGATGGTGTCAAATAGGCGCCCCCTTGAATATGCAGACCTCCTCACCTCCTCCCCCCCTCCCCCCCCCCCACTTTGTCTCCCACCTCTTAAAAAGAAGGGGTACAAGGACAACCTATTCCTATTGCCACTCTATCACTAACTTTTTAAGCTTCAACTATTGCAGAATCAGTAAAGGAGAGTCTTTTCTTTTCTATTAGATTACTTCCACTTATTTCTATCTCCATGTGCCTGCTGTTCTTTTAATTTTTGTTCCAATTGCTGCACTATTGGTAAATGCTATAAACTTCCCAGGACCAACAAGACCATTCTCTAGTCTTTGAGTACCAGTTATTTCTATGATAGTTAAGTTGTCAGGATGCGTTTGAAGAAAGTGGATGATAATGAATAAGCGCCCTACCTTGATAAAGTGCCCTATTTTCAATAAGACTGCCCTCCTTTTTAGCCAAAAATTTGAACAAGCACCTGGGCACTTATCTGAGGAAATATGGTACAAGTAATTGACAACCTCAGTTGAAAGTAGCCAGTGATTTCTTTTTAATTTGTCTAGCCCCACTTTGTGTGAAAGCATATTAAGTAAAATCTTTGACTCCCACAATTGACCAAGACAGAATTTCTCCCTACAATATCAATACATGCCCAATACACCGGAATCACTGTGATTCATCTATGGTTGTTGACGAATCGATGTACCAGAAGTTGAATTGTGTGTTAACATACCAGAAGTGGAGGGTGGTAAGCAATGTGTGAAAAGGAGTAGCATGGTATACCGGAAGTTGAATCATGTGTTAACATACTGGAAGTCCAGGGGCGTGAGCAATGTGTGAAAATGAGTAGCCTGATGAAAAGAGAAAATGACAACATGAACCTTCCACGTTCTTAAAGCATGAAATGGTTGGAAGTCCATTGTCGGAATGGGGTATTCAATGCTGACGAATTAACACAATTCGCATGGATTGACTTGACTCATCATTAGTAAAGTTGATCTGTCACCAGAAGTCAATTCACAGAAGTAAGTGTTAAATTGGGGTATTTAATGTTGACGAATCCACATGATTTACATGGGTCGACACAACTTGTCATTAGTGAAGTTGATCCGTCTCATCAGAAGTCGATTTGCAAAAGATTTGTCATGTGATTACCTCCTTTCTAAGTGTTTGTTTTGAAAATGACAACTTTGGAGACGTGTTACCAGAAGGCAACATGGCTGGCTTTTACAAAGATTGTGTTCATTTATTTTGTCTTTTCACAGTCCTTCATTTTGTAGGAAAGAGGGTTTTAAACTCATTTGGTTTTACATTGGTTGTTAATTTTCTAAGTGTCTTGTAAATCGACTTCCAGTGTGATGGCTCTACTTTAACTAAGACAAGTCATTTGACTCAAGTCGATTCAACAACAGTTTCAATGACCCTTGGTAGTTACTTATGGAATATTCTCTAAGTGTCTTGCAAATCGACTTCTGGTGTGATGGTTCAACTTTAACTGAGATGAGTAGTTGGACTCAAGTCGAAGTGTCTTGCAAATCTACTTCGAGTATCACGGGTCGACTTAAACTGAGAGGAGTCATTCGACTCAAGTCGAATTGATTTGACTTCTGGTAGAACGATTCGCAAGCTGCCTTTGACGAATCGTAGCGGTTTAGGTGTATTGGACAACCTTCACAATATCAAGCAGACAAGTGATGGGAATGAAAGAAAAGTATAAATAAGGGTATTTTTAATTGATCCAATAGCAAATTCTTCAAACTAACATAATCATAAGAATTGTTTAGCAGTCAGCAAGGAGAATTACTAATGAGATCTTGAGAGTGATAGGGTTAGTTTATGGCTGGTTCACTCATTTTTGTGGACCTTTTCCTTTTAAAGGAGATGGCAGTGATGAAACAAGCCATTCTTGGTCTAAAGTCCTCAAGACATTCTACTGCACAAGTTACAAGGACATCTACAGGTGTCCGTGGCCAAGAATCACACATTAGAACTTCTGTGACTCAAGACACATCCAGCTCTGCTGCACATCAACCTAAACCAACTATTTTTGTAAGTGATATTGAAGGGATATAATTGTCTGTATTACTCTAGCAATTTTGTCTAAGAGCTTTAATCATTTTTATCAGTGCCACAGATAAAAAGGGTAGGGCCAGGCCAGATTCGTAGGTATTGCATTTTTTCTTTTTTTGGTTTTTATGGGAATAGCCTCTTGCATATGTTATTGTTTTATTTCTTTTTCCTTTGGTTTAAAATTTAGTGAAATTATTTTCTCATGTCTTCAACTCAATATCATGACCTGAAACAATGTAAAATGGGAATCAAACAGGTTAAAAAGATGCGAGTTGAACCATAGCACAACCATATTTATTAGTCGTTTCATACCCATGGTCATTTTGTACCCAGTAAAGTCAATTCATACTCAGTCAGTTGAGTTGTTTGTACCCATACTGTCTAATAAAGTTTGTTTTACATGTTAAGTATGTTTACAGTAAGAATAGAACAAATGAATGAACAAGGAAAAAGTCACTTACACTAGCTGTTATTGTTAAGAATTTTACAGTATAAACAATAGACTATGCTACCAAAAACATCACACTTACCTTGCACTAGGCAATAATTTAATGGTTTTTTTTTTTTTTTAAGAAGGTCACAAGCATAAATAGCAGAACTTGGCTTGAATCTTACTCGCTTGACTGTGCTAACTTGCCATGCAATATTATCAGTATCTGTCCATGTGCTCTCAGTTGGCGTATTTTAAATGGATGTTTATTGGGATGGGTACAAATTGACCAGTGGTTCAAAAATGGACTGACTGAAACTAAGTATGAATCAACTGAATTTGGATACAAAAGGACCATGAGTATGAAACCACTGGATTCCTTTTTGGAACTAAGATTGTGACCCTTCATTCATTTAGACAAAATCTGACCCTCCAACATGGTATAGAAAATTAAAGACTCAGAATTTGACTGGAAGAACTATGCAAGGGTAAGGTAAAATTTTATTCGTACGGTAAGGTAAAATTTTATTAGTACACTTGTTAGGAATGTAGTGAGAGATGCCATGGTTTAATATTTGGTGCACTGGGCTCTGGCTCCAGAGGTCTGGGTTCCAGACCTGGCAGGATCAATGTTTTGTGTTCTTGAGCAAGACACTCTACTCTCTCACAATGCCTCTCTCCAGCCAGGGGTAAAAGTGGGTACAGGTAAATAATTGTTTTAGCTTTCTGAAATGATGGTTCATCTGATAAAGAAGTCACATGTTGCAAACTCTAAAGCCCATGAGTCAAATAATTTGTCTTAAGTTTATTCTGTATAAAATTTTTGATTGCATAAATGAACCACTCAGACTGTGTTCACTTGAGAAATGAAGATGGAGCCTAGAATAACTATTTTTAAATATATGTAAGATACTTCAATAAGTTATAATTCACTTTTTTCTGTTGCAGGTCAAACTGACACAATCCACAAACTCTAAAAATATGAGTCAACAAATTATTTAAATATATTAATACGACTTACTAAAATATAGAAAACTTCAAAATGTGTCAATTTAAGAAATCTTCTCAAACAAATGGAGATTAATATGATTAATGACGGTGAATCTCTGCTACATCTGATATATTTGATGTTGGATTTGTGGTAAATTTGTAACAGTTCTTTTTCTCAATCAGCAGAAGAGCTAAAAATAAAAGGCTTTTTTTTTTTTACCGGAGGGAAACAGTCAAAGATGGCAGTCACAAACATGTACAGTGCTTCACTAGAACCATACCAATCAATTAAGGCAAAAAACAATTACAGCTTTGGTGTCAAATTGGCTAAAAAAAGTTTGCAAGAGGTTTTTGTTTTTCCCATGTGTTGGAATGTCACCCCTTACACTTCTCATGTAAATTTTTCAATCCTGTCATTCCTTTTCCATCCTTTGCCATACTTGTTCTATCTTTAAGGTTTTTAAGTGTATTCTCTCAGTTTTTATCTCTTACAATGCTAATATTTTTATGGTCTCAAATTTGACATTATCAAGAAATTTCAATAAACCAAAACAGTACTGAAGCAATGATTATCCATTAAATGTGGACAGTTGTTCCAAAGAACCAGTTATCCCAAATGTAGGATTATCTGGATTTGACTGAGACCACAAAATTAGAGTGACCTGCTTAAATTTCCATCAAGCTTTTCTACATAGAATGGCATCTAATCTTACAGAGGGCTCCAGCTTTTTGGTCTGAATATCAACAAATCCCTTATTTTGCAAGATCTCTTTATATTCCTCTGCTGTGCGTTCCCTTCCCTGCATTTGTAAAAGCATATTCAGTGACTGAAGGAGAACACTTTTAGGTCCAGTTTTGTCTTCATCCAAGAAAGCTTCAGCAATTAGCAAACAGCCACCTAAAATGTAGATGAGTACATAATTATTATTAACAAATAACACTAACACTTAGGTACTAACCTCAGTGCTATTCCAATCCCTATAAAGCGAACTCCTTCATAAACCTTTTACCCCTTGACATCAGTATCCATATTCTCCAAACGATTCACTACACACTTCCCAAGGTGCTGACAAAGAGAATTTGTTTGATAATCAAAAGCTGCTTTAGTTGGTGATCATTTCCTCTATTCCCTTTACCTTATTGTTTGATTCAAGGGTGATTTTGTAAGGAGAAATTAGATGCTAGTCACTCAGGGTTTAACCCTTTAACTCCCAGAAGTGATTAACATGAAACTTCTCCCTAAAATATCCATACATATGTCTAGCAAACAGGTAATGAGAATATTCAAATTTCTCAGGTGAAAGTCGCTTTCTTGATCGAATACCAAATTCTTGTACCTGATTTGCAAGGACGTGTATGGCAGCTAGAAGGGAGAATTAACATTAAGATCTTGGGGATTAAAGGGTTAAGATTGTTGCTTTTATACTTGAATTTTATGGCAAAAATAGTGATCTACATAAAGAATTGAGTTTGTAAAAATTGACTGCAATTTTTCTGTGACAATCACTGGCAGATTATATGATATGGCTTAAGGATATACTCTCTTTTATTGAGCTGTTGACTCTTTAACCCTTAAGTGATATATAATATCCATACATTATCCAGTGAACAGGTAATGAGAATACTCAAACTAGTTGAAATCTTAATCTAACACCAAATTCTCATAACTAATTTACAAGGAAATATGCAGCAGTTAGAAGGGAGAACTGACAATCAGATCTTAGGGCTTAAAAGGGTTAAAGTGTGAATATATATCATTTCTGAACTTTTTGAATAAGTGTTTTTTGAATGACAAAGACTGATTTTCTCTTGAGTTTTGTATGCAACCTGTTTTAACCCTATTACTCCTGTGAGTGACCAAGACAGAATTTCTCTCAGAATTAGGAGAAGTACAAATTTGATGTGGGAGTTTTAGGGTTAAAGCTATTTTGAGTTAATCCCAAGTTCTCCCAGGCCAACAACAGGGTATTGCCATGATGCAAAATTAAATGTAAGCCTTGGCTAAGGTTGTAATGTATATAGATATATTACATCCATTTTAAAATCAGTGTCCTTGAAATCTGATTGGCTATATCACTGTGGTTTATTCATGAAACACAACATTTTATGCTCTAAATTGCATCCTTTTCCCAGGCAGTGAGAGAGCTTAAGTAAAACACAACACCCAATCAGATTTCAAGGCTCGGTTAAAGAAACCAATTAAATTTCAGGAAAACAAAAGTCAACTTTGGTAACTTTTTACTAACCTGCTTAATGCTGGATCAGTAAAATATTTGAACAGACTAAAAAACCTGTATTTGAGCACTAGAATTCTGGGATTTCAAAAAGGATGTAATAAAGTGAAAATTATGCTTCATGCCATGCAATTTTGGTCTGAAATGAAAAAATAAAAACCAACTCTTGCTGCACGCTCGTTCAATTTTGGAATCATGCTTATGATTTCAGTCCAAATTGCACCCCACTCAGTTCAATTACCATTATATATCCCAGCAAGCAAAGCAAGATACGTACCTGAAGGCAAACACTTGATGACATTTGAGAGTATAAGTTCCACTTTTTCAATTGGCCAGTCATGAAGAATACGTGACAATATATACAAATCAGCCTTTGGCAGATCTGTTTGGAAGAAATTCCCTACTACGTATGAGATGTTTCCTTGATTGGGGTAATCTTCTAACGGGGGATGAAAATGACGGGCAGAGTCCACAACAGACTGCACTTCACACACTGTGATCTTCATGTTTGGGTAGTATTGGCATAAAGTGTAAGCCATTGTTCCCATTCCACCTAGGTGTTAAAAGAGAAATTTACAGAGTGAGAAAATTCATAAGAAGCAGTTTCCCTTTGTGGATGTGGAGCTGCCCTTGTAATCTGATGCATCTGGGGATAAGCCCTTCGCCCTGATACTTAGAGGTTGTTACTTACTTGCCATCTACTGCCTGCAAATCTAACTTGGGGTTAAGTCTTGAATATCTTTAGTTACAATGGACCTCAAAAATCTCTCTGAAAGAGTGGTCAACTACTTTATAAGTTTTGTCCCTGTCACTATCAGTATCATTGTTTAACATCATTTATTATTATTGTTGTTATTTTCAGTATTGTTGTTGCCGTCTTTAATGTTATACTGTTTCAGCTTTCAACTGTCAGACAGTCAGACACCCCAAGCACTGATAGGGATAATTTTGTTTGATGCAGATCTGTCAGTGTATGGTGTTGAGGGGGGGATATGGGTAGCAGGTTGCTCTGCACCATTAGTTTTTCATAGCAGTGTGGGGGGGGGGGCATTCAAGTGCTAGATGGGGAGGAGAGGGAAGGTTCTTTTCCTTTTAGCTATGCCATGTCCCAGTGCACAATTTTCCTGAACTAGGCTTACGCAAAGCTCCGAGTGAGATTAGTGAACAATTCGACCGTTATAATAAGTAGTTGTACGGTAATTATAATATGCAAAATATATCCCACCTCCTAAGTCACAACAATTTTCAAATGAACTTAAGTCAAACGCCGTCACCACGGCGTGACAGAAGTGCTGTGACGTGGAATGCATAGCAGATTGAAATCGTATGCGGTCCTCCTCGGTGTTATATGAAGATTTAAAAAAGTCCTCCGACGACAGGTTGAATGTTCTCATCCACTGATTCGATCCTTCACGAATTGCACTCTCTAAGTTCCCGAAAATGGGATAGATCACTTCATTGGAGTGTTTTATGTACCCATAAACCGAATGGGGACTCGACTTTGTCAGAAAATGTTTTGCTATGTTGCTGTTTGAATACAGCCATGATCCATCTTGCTTAGTCTTTTCCAGCAATTCCAGAGCAACCAATGTGTCCATGAAGCAAGCTGTGGCATCAGCATTGGATCCAATCTTTGAAGACATGTCTTCGACCGACTGCGGAGCATCGGAATCTTGAAGGATATCGAAGATACCCAAATCACATGCTGCGAACAGCACTTTGGATTCACGAAAAGCGTATATCAGATCATGCAGTTTATCTGGGAGTGGCGGAGAAACTGTAATATTTTTTCCGACAGCCGAAACTCGTGCAGTGTATATGTTACGGATGAGTTGCGGAATCCTCCACGCTCTGGTCGCCATTGTTTGCATATCTCTTGAACATCGATGTCTTCACCATAACAAGCAAAGGAAGCCACCCGATTCGCTCGTAATACTAACAACATTAACCGTTTACATGTGAATTTAATTAGCATCAAATTAACCCAACAAGCGGTCAAAGTTCGACCTATTTTCCTGTCACGGGCTTGTGACGTAGCTGAACCCTTTGCTAAAAAAAAAAACAATAACAACAACAAGACGCCTCAAGATACTGAGCGTAGCATTGAAAGGAATTGTGCAGTTACAGTAAACTACTATGAATCAGTTATATCAGCAGAAGAAATCACCATAGAAACTTGTAGTGTTCAAGAAACCGTGACTAAGGGTAGGAGCTCGGAAACCCTTGGATTTTTCTGAAAAAAACTGGAACTCGACCTACTGATCTCCTCGTGTTTCTCATTGCCTGTTTCATCCCTCCTAAGTGCAACAGGTCGGTAAAAACGATTTCCATCTCCGCTGACATCGCCGGACTTCTCTCCTTTAAGGATGTATATTTTCAGCCGTCGTAATTTGTTTATCAAGAACGACAATAGGTACGAAAACATGCTGTACACACTAAAAGATACAACTAAAATACTATACTGATTAATTCCCTGGTGATTTGTAGTTAATTTTGTGATATTTCGAGACCATTGGGCGACGTCAATTTCACAATAAACCTTGCGTAGGTAAGAACTTATTCCGTAGATTTTATCACGTATTTCATCGTTAATCATACAAAAACGTACGCTTCCCTTGAAAAAAGCACAACCTACATTATTAACGATTATCACCTTTATCTAATCAAAGAATACCTATGGCCAACTCGTACATAAAACACTTAACCTACAGATGAAACATGGATTTCAACTCGGGCGTTTCCTTTGGAAAGCCCGAGTAATTATTGGTCTTGCAGCAATGCAAGGTTGCTCCTATTTCAAAAGGCAAAGTTCTGGAAAATCACGAAGAGATCCTCAAGTATGGTGAACATCCAACTCCGCAGAATGATGAACTTATATATAACCTACAAAAAAAGCACAGAATAGTATCCTGCGTTTATCGAATTTGCAAAATTCGATAAAAATTCAGCCGCTGGAATCCAAATCTTTCTTCGCCCACACAAGCCAAATTCTACTATTTGCCAATTTATGTCACGTTGCGCTTCACAGTAGCTCAATGAATATTTGCATTGTAACGCAATAATCTTTGTTTACAGGGTTTTCTTCAGCTTGTTTCTGATAAGTTTTCGGCCTCGAAACGAAAATACCTTAGAACGCTCTTAATTTGATCGCTAGTTTTTTTGACTGAGTGAAATTAAAGATATGCGGTAATGAATTCCATAGGTTTTCTTTTTTCAGGAAAGCACAGGATCATTTGCTTCTAATCAATCCTGCCATCAGTGTGTATCAAAATCGATAAGGATTTTACACATTCCAACTGGCTAGCTTTGCCATTTGACCATGCAGTGAAAAAAGAAACCCAGCCGGATTTTTTTTACCGGAGTTATTCGGAATTACACAACCGAGTGCTAACTTAAACTAAGATTGAAACGTAGAGGTGCGTGAACAACGCGGGAAATTCCTGAGGAATTAACTTCCCGATAATTACTAAACGGTTTTGCTTGGTGCGAAATGCCTAGTTTTTCAGCAAAGCGGATTTGATCGATGCGAAGTTCCAAGTTTCGCTTAACCTGCAGAGCAGGCGTAATTTCGGCGAGCTTGCTTATCGCATGCCGCGCCTTTTGGCTGATGGGTTTTTTTCGGTCCTGAAGAAGAGGGGAATTCAATAGAGGTCCACCTACCGCATATTTTTTCTTAACCACCCTCTTTCGTTCGCACTCATTCAATCTTCCGTTGTTCCTGTTTTGTTGACGCTTTTGGCGCTCTCCATGTAGGAAGTATGTGAAAAGACCCCTGCAAATTTCCCTAATTTCCAATACTGATTTCGACAATTCAAACTAGTTCAAATTAGTCCTCTACAGGACCAGAGCCGGAGCTCCTGGAATTTGAACTAATATAACCTAATACAGAAAGATGTAAAAAAAAATATACACAGTTGCTAGTAATGTCATTGCTTAAAACGGTGGAGCATCAATACTCTCCGATAATGGCGGCTATCTATGGATCCCAAATTGATGTCCTCCCTCGCAGTGGACTAACGGACGCAGAGGACGAAGGCGATATTATTGTAAAACTTGAAAGCCTCAAAGCGTCTGGGAAAAAGCAGCCCCTAGTTTTCACGAATGGTTTTGAAAAACTAGGTCACAGCAATTCAAGGGCTCCCTTACTATGTCTGCAAGACAAAGTCTTGGTATTGAAGGATGCTTCTATACCAGCGTATTGGAACTGAAGCACAAGCTTCAGAAGATGAGGCTTTGAGAATGCGAGATCCCAAACGAAGTTGCCGATGTGAGTGCAGAACTTCAAACGGGGTCAGAAGAATTCTGAGGAATCGAGGAAGCCAGAGCCATTCGTGGTTTGGGCAAAGACGACCATTTTTACGTTGATCACATGAAGTGGAACTGTTGGAGTCCAGAGAGGCAGCGTCAGCATTTCAACCGCTTTCGTAAATTTGTGCCCAAATCGCACGACTCGTAAAGGAAATCGTGCTCAGCTGGTCCTACGACCTCACCGAAATCTAATAAGAGAAGGGCAGAACTTATCGGAGCCTGAAATCTTTGCTGACCGTATTCCTGATGTTAACCCACCGGCCGAAAAAATCTCTTGTACCTCCCCTATGCCTGTCAAAAGTTAATAGAAGCTCACAATGGCAGGTAAGATTGACTTATAAAGTGTACACCCACAGTTCCTTTTACTATTGTATGTTAAAATGTTCGACCATATAACCAGGAAGTTGATAGCATACTACATGTACATACGTACATACATATCTTAAGAATGCAGTTTCCATTTCTTCGATACAGAACAATGTTTAGGGAAATTATGTTTTTCTGTCAAAGTAATCCAAATCTGACAATTCGTCTTTAATTTATTCGCGTCACTTTGAAAGAGTTGGTTGTAATTCTCTGTCGCAAGATGGAGAAACGTGCATCTCTATGGATTATTTGTAAATTTTCGGTACTTTTCCACAGGTGGACAAGCCCAGTTGCTCATCGACTCAAGGGGATACCCTGAACCCTGAAAGAATAACTGGCAAGCACTGATGATCTTGTCCACAGAGATGACACCAAGCCCTGCCCTAAATTAGTCACGCGATGTGAGCAGTGCAGAGTTTATTTAACACTTCAGACAAAGAGATAATGAAAAGTGTAGGGGTTCGTGATAGAACCGATAAGTCAGGCAAAATAGTCAAGTAGTCGAGTATACGGGAAATGCATATCTGCATTACCTCACCAATTTTCTAAAAGAGCAGTGGTGGATCTAGGGGGAGGCCCCCCCCCGTTATTTTGAGTAAAAAAATAATAATCACAGAAGGAAGAACAGCCGGCAGGGCAAGCTACAAAAACTGCAAAGAGTTTAAAGAGTGACTTTTCGAGCGTTAGCCCTTTGTTATAGCGATTGGAAAAAGGGCTAACGCTCGAAACGTCAGCCTTTACGCCTTTTACGGTGGCCAATTTACGTTTTTGACTCAGCTGTTAACGCTAAATTACCTGTTATAACCTCCCACCGACGCAACACCACAGTTTCTTCAGAAACTTACCCCCTTTATTTAGTTGATGGTAGTTCATTTAGATCGGGCTTAGGGTGAAACTTTTATGTTGACATAGTCTGTGCTATTTGTATTTTTTAGAATAAATATTTCTTTCATATTTCATGATAGAAAAAAGGTATATAACCTGAGTTCCGCGTCTCAGCCGTTAAGGTGAACACTCGGCTTGCGCAGTCAATTCTGTTTTCCTGTTGTATATCGCTGGCAATTATTACTTTGAATTGCTCCAGTAAAGTTTAAACGTCATTTTAGTTATCAATGTAGGTTACTTTCGATTATTTTAGGTCAAGACATCAGTCAAGGTTATTTCAGGTCATTTTAGGTCATTTTAGACATCACTCAAGGTCATTTAAGATCATATTTGGTCATTTTAGGTCATTCCTTGTTTTAATAACTACATTAATTTGATGCTAATAATATTCGCATGTAAGCGGCTGGTTACAAGCAAATCGGGTGAGGAAGCCTAAGAGATGTATTAGACTCTTGGGAAAAGGACGACGGAACAACAAAGACAAGGATATTTAATTTATATTTAGCGTTTCTTGACGACTACAGTTAAGGATACGTTGTACAATACGTTGTTTTAAACGTTGTACAATATCAAGTCCACATAATGATAAAAAAAGAAATGAAGAAATCTTTCTGCTGTCTGAACAAGTCACCTCTATTTGCTATGGAACGATTTCCAATATTCCTAATCGATCAGTATTCAACAGACAAGCCAAATTTTTTTTTTTGCGTACATGTTTGGTTATTAATAGGTTGGCCACATATACTCACACTAGGTTGAGTAACAGTCACACCTCAAGGACATCGTGGTTGTCCTTGAGAAATTCAGCAGCTTCCGCTTCAACGCATGCTCGGAAGCCTTCACGATGATAGGCGGAGAACATTAAAGGCGTGAAGAATTGATTAGCTGTGCTGTGATTCGGGAACTTGTGGCAGAGGAGCTCAGATAAACCGCTCAAATAGGACTTTTTGTTACAACATGCACAACAACAGAAGGTCAACTTGTCGACTTCGTCTTCGTTCAGAAATGGACTATTCCCCCAGTCACGTGCGTCCAGATGGAAACCAAACTCTTCCCAGGTTTTGACCTCGCTCCTTTCACCTTTTCGCGGATCTCTTGGCCGAATGAACAAAATTTCGCCTTCACCAACTTTGTGGTCGTTTTCGTAGTATTCAACATTAAATCTAGCGAAAAAGAAGAAACAATAGATTAAAAATTATTGTTTTGAAGCAAGAGATTATAAGCATGTTTGAATTTTAAGAGCTTCTAGCTTACATTGAATTTATGCCATTTAATTTATGTCGTGTAGAACGTCGTTCATCTTAAAAGAGAAAACGATGTAGTACTTTGACAAGATACAAAACTATGAAACAGGCAGTGATAAACCAAGAAGGAAAAAAGATTAGCTGAAGATAACTGCAAATGGTGAACTCGGTCCAAGCTTCACACGATACACAAGCCTTGGCATGGATCCGATAACCAAGAATAGACTCGCTATCCCAAATCAATAGAAAAAAATGGAACCTCATTTCTCTCTTGCGCCAACTCAAGGTCGTACTTCCCCTCATTCCCACCTCCCACTCGAAAAAACACCAGTGCTTCCCTGATTGAGTGTAATCAGGTGTCGGTAGTCTTGTCAGGTGTCTTGTTTAAAGCGGCGCTCGACGACAAAGAAGAGGTGGCAGTAAATTACGGAAAGGATCATAGACATGTACCTGAAATGTCGTGGTTTTTTTTCATTTGGTTGCTGAAGCTTCACGAAATTCTCCAACAGGTCTGAAATGACGTCACGACCGCCCTGGCCAATAAACGAACAATTCAGGTCTCTACGAGCCAGCATCAGTGCTTTCAGTAGTTCTTCCCCATAATTCTTCTCATTGGAATAGTAACTGCCATCCACCACAATAATTTTCTTGAGTTTCTTCTTTAACAATGGCAAAATAGCAAGATTTTCCACGTGGCCTCCATCGCTAAGTAGCATGATGGGAGGAGGCATGGGTCCGATGTTGTCAATGTTAAGGCCTACTCTCACGAACTTCACAAAGGAAACGTGCACGATGAACCACCTAGGTTAAAAAACATAATATATATTTGTTTAAAGGGGGTAATTTTTCCAAAGAAACTGTGATGCTGCATCGGTGGAAGGTATTACAAGATGATTTGGTTTTGTCAAATAAGTTGATAATGTAAATGGGCCACTATAAAGAGATTCTTCGGTTCGAGCGTTAGCCCATCGTCAGAGTCAAATATATACATATAAAGAAGGACAGTTTATCTGAAAAATGGTCTTTTTCAAACTGTGAGTGACCGAGAATTTTACCACTCTCCGTGATTCGAGTGGGCTCAAGTCGTGTGACGATTTACAAAGTAACCACAATGATCATATATTTCATTTATAATTACAGAAAGCTTTCATTTCAATTAACTTCTGATCAGGATTAACCTGGTCACCATAATTGAGGAATGGACATTTTGGGTTTCTTCATCTTATCATTTAGAGTGACTCCAGTGGAGTGCCAAAGGAATACAAGAATTTCTTTGGTTTTAATCAAAACCCTGCTCAGGTTAATTAAGGCCTGGGTCAAAAATGATTTTCGCCTCCAGTGCCCCCCCAGCAAGGTTCGCGGAATTCGCGTGGACTGCGCGAGTAACTATAGTTACTTGGAATCAAGATCGCGTAGTTCGTGAACGGCATCCGCCATTTTGAAGTGTCGGCTTTGCATTGGTTTTTCCCATCTTCGCTGGTGAATCCGACAATTTAGAGGAAGACACCAAAAGAAGGTAATAACATTTTCTTTGCTATCTTCATTTCCTGAAAAAATGGCATGATATCGCTATCTTAAAGCCAAAGAGAACCCTTTTGAACCTACGAAGACTTCTAAACACCGCTCTCAACATGTTCATCATCTTCACTGCAAATACAATGCAACATGAATTTATAATATAGCGCTCATTTCTAGAGCTCAATAGCGTTTTACAATGTTTGTAACTTATGCATAGAAAAAAGTACTATGTTTTGTAACAAATGCATAGAAAAAAGTTTCATTGTGGATATACCATTCAATTTTGAAATTAAATTTAGCTTGATAAATCCTCTATCATATCATGATGTGTATACTTATGGTGTCTATCAAAATTTAGGCTTTTGAATGCTTTGGAAACAATTTCTCCAAGAAGCAGATGAATTTACTTACAAAAGTAATCCCCCAAAGCAGTTGTTAGGTAAGTTTAATTGCTTCTGAACACTCGCGCGTCAAAATGGCGGACACTAAGTTGAATACGTGACTGCGAGTTTTCAAAATTCCCACCTCTTAAACAGTTTTAATTTGTCTTTTTTCCAAATAAATAGGAACCTGTAGGATTACTTTCATTGACAGCGGTTGGAACCAGGTAAAGGCTAAGATGTTTTCGGGCGAAAACCATGATAGAGGAAGCAGCTTCGCAGAGACAAAACTTGATTTAATCTGCCTAGCACATCTCTCTTTTTTTTGGCAGCCATTCCAAGTGAGAAAACAATGAAAAACGTCTCAAATATTCATAGCGATAACTGCATTTTCATTTGCCTTATGTTTAGTGGTGGGAATTTGCTCAAGAAAGCAACCGACGAATTTGGCACCTAAATTAACTGTTTTTGGCTGTTGAGAGTATCATATTACGCTGCCACAACTCAGTCCGAGAGAGATGATAGTGATACACATTTCTGCCAAGTATGAGAAAAATCCCTCGCAAAATAGCTAAGTTATTCTCAATTTTGTGAAAAATATGGGTTAAAGGCAAGGTGACCCAGGCCTTAATTAAGCTGAGTGGACCACCTTCTGAACCAAATAGCTAGGAAGACCAATGTTGTCCTGCTCATTTTTCCTGCCCTTGAGGCTGTTTGCATTGAGCAATTTACCACGAGCTCTCCTGTGCTCCTCCGGATATTTCCCATTGTTCAGATTGTTCAGGCATTTTTTAATATTTTGGTGTGGGTCTATCCACACCATCGTAAGGTGCTCAGATTTATACAATCCTTACCTGGCTATCTTCTCCCATAAGTTTGGGTTCAGAGCTCCTGTATCAGCGAGAGCTCCAATACAAGCCAACATGAGGTGAATTGCAAAGAATGTGAATACTCCTGCTTTAATTGACCACACATGTCCTCCTCTATAGTAAACCGCTGGTACAGCGATCAATGGAAGACCACGGAGAATGTTGATGAGAATTGGGAGGAGCTGTTGTAAAGAGAAAAAGATACATGCAGGCCTAAAGCATTAATTAATGACAGAGTCAAGAAGGTTACCTTACTGTTACTCTGTTTAAACATGATATGTACTTGCAGAGGGAATGTCATGCTTAGGGATCAGTCATTATTTATCAGGGGTTGGTAGATTTTGGTAGTGTCACAATAACGTTTACCAGATCTTCCCATAAGGCTCTGTAACATTCTCTGACAGGCAATGTTTGTCCTTTATAATCAGTTGGCAACGACCGATCTCTCCACAGTTCCCCCTGAAAACCCTGTGATTCCATAAAATCCTGCCTCCCCCCTAAGCTCCCCCCTCCTCTTCCGTCAGAGCAGCTGATCTCAACTGCACTGAGGCACGCAAAGCATGGTATATCCTTGCCAAACGAATATCATGCTTAGAAAGAAACTCCCTGAGAAGACCATAACTCTCAGCAGTCCTTCAGTAGTTATTGTAAGATGTAACTTATCTGATCCCTGGTTGAGCAACCTCTTACCTTCATGAGCCATCCCTCCTTTTTAATTGCCTCGAGGTTGCTGATCACTGTGGCTCCCATTTCGAGTCCAAGAATCGTGGCAACGCGCAATTCCCTAAGGTTATCACCGTACCCGGAAATTGCTGCTGCAGACGTTGCCATGGCGTCTGACAACTCTATATCTCGAGGCCTCAGCCTATCCTTGAATGGATCGACAGTCGATGGACCTCGATCTAAGCGCTCTATTGTGGTAGGCGACATTGTCAGGAGATCATCATCCGTGTCAGAATCTGCCTCTTTCTTCCAGCTGTGGATGGTCATGTTTGATATATATTCAGGTTCTAGGCCTCTGAGATCTGCCAGGTTCAAAGATCTTTTCTTTACTGGCTCAATGTCATCCGCCAAAGAATTAAAGCTACCTCTCTGTTCTCTGTGACCAGAATCCCGCTTCTGTTTTCTCTTCAGACATGTCCACAAAGGGCAGAAAATCTCCTGGAGTATTTCCAGACATCCCTTGGTAGCTAAACTTTCCTTTGAGTAAAATGCCTTCTGAAGTCTCCATCTGCAAATGGGTAGAGTTAAAAGTGATTAAGTAAGTAATCATTCTGCGGATAAGGTAGACGTGGTGTGTTCTTGGGCAAAACAATGAACGCTCACAGTTCCTCTCTCCACACCGGAGTAAAAATTGGTACCAGCGAACTGTCAAGGAAGACTGATGAAATTCTTGGGGGAGGGGGGGGGAGGGGTAGTGATACTTCTAGTCATGCCAGGATAGCCGGGTAAGCTTCGGCTAGGAGGACCGCTTGGCCGCAGTACCGACCTTACCTTTCTTTTCTGCGGATAAACATTACCTTTTTGAGTCTTACCTGTTGAAGATATGGACGAGCCTCTTCCTTGATTGTGCCAGGTAGGGAACAAACCACATGATAAACCCAGAGGTAAAAAGCAGCCCATTAAACAGCCCATCAGAATACACAACACCAATAATCTTGGCTTTGTACACTTTCCAATAGATGATGTAAGGATAGAGATAGATAAGAATGCCGTAGGACGTTTTGTCCCGCAACAGAGGTAGGAGGAACCATAGAACCACACCAATTACTACAATGATCGCTCGACTCCACAGGGGGATTTCAATGAAAAAATCGTGGATTGCAAATGGGAGGAAAGTAAGAGAAAGAAGTAAGAAGGAAATTATTGAGAAAAGTCTGAAATATTTAGACTTCCTTCTAGGTAACCATTGCGACAGAATGTAGGAGATGACAAATGACATGACCAGAACCGTAAACAGGGAAATCTTAGAGAAAATTACGCTTTCTGGACATGGAGTACGGGTTGGTGCAAACTGATCACAATCCATTTTGGCTCGAAGTAACTTTCCGAAAAGGTAATCGATGATGAAGGCAAGTGGAAATGCGTATGATCCATATATGACAATCGGTTCAATGAAGGTGACAGTGAGTACGAGGAGGATCATAACAATTGTATCAACGATTCCTTGACGTGGCTTCTCCCAGTTACAAAAGTAACCTGCTCTTTGTCGCATGTTGTCAAAGAACTCTTCATGCCATTCTTCGCTGTCCTCTGTTTTCTTCTCTTTTCTGTATTTCCAATCCAGAAAGGATGTGCCTGTGTAACCACCCCCTGACACGCAGCTCAGGTAGTCTACTTTTGCGTTATCCTTTAGCAGCCTGCGCAGGACTCCAGAGCATAGTGCCGCTGACCGAATGCCACCACCAGAAAAAGCCAAACCAGTTTTTTTAGATGTCATGTTGTCTGAAAGTTTACAAAGTTATTTTTAATAAACAAACATATGAAAACATGCAAACATATGAAAATCATATGTGTACACTGCGGTTGAAGAAACGAATATAGAGTCGATCCTCGCAGTTATGAACACTACTGAACTTGTAGTTGAAATAAATTTCATCTACTAGTTCAGTAGTGTTCATAACTGCGAGGATCGATTCTGTATAAGTTATTTTTAGTTCCAAACATTAACAGAACCGTACCAGTTTTTAGATCCAAACTTGTAGGATCTACGCATAATACTTTTAAAACTAGTTTTACCCCCTCGTATTTTTAGAAAAAAATGTCCTCCCTCCTTAACAGATTTGCAGTTGACTGATTTACGTATGGCTCATCAAAAATATTGTTCTTTTGGGGTTAAATTTCACAAAACGAAGTACCTATTTGTATCAAGTCGTACGATGCCAAATATTGCTTTGGGTTATATGGAACGCTAACACTGTCTTAAGTGATTTCCCATCATTATATGCGGTGCATTGTTCATCATATGCGGTACATTTTGCATTATATGCGGTGAAGTTTTCATTACATGCAATGCTTTGTCCAACATATGTGGTGCTTTTTGCATTATATGCGGTTCTTTTGTCGTTATATGCAGTGCTTTCGTTATTATTTGTGGTGCTTTCGTCATTATATGTGGTACTTTGGTCATTATATGAGGTACTTGTTATATTATATGCGGTGCTTTTGTCATTATATGCGGTACATGCGGTACTTTCTTCATATTGTGGATGAGGTCGAGATTCGACGGGGAACTGGGTAAGAGCTTATAAAAACCTACAATGCAATGGGTTCCGAGAATCCGCCATTTTGTTTCCAGCGCTCGAACGGACATCATGGATTCAATTTTAAACCAGTTGAGCTCGGGAACCCTTTCAGAGAGCTTTTCTAATGAAAGGATAAACCCAGGAGTAGCATTATCTATGAAAGATAGCGATTTGGCTGGCCTAGGAGTGAACACAATTCGTGACCGTATTCGACTCAGAGAACTGTGCACAAACTATGTTGCTGCACCACATATAATATAAATATAAATAGTACCTCATATAAAAAGTACATAAATATGAATATTAAGTAAATATAAGGAAATATAAAAAGTGCGTCATATACTGAGCAAAGCATACAATGACAAAAGCATCGCATGTAATGTAAAATATATTGGACAAAGCACTGCATTTAATGTAACGCTTATGATGGAAACTTCACCGCATACAATGCAAAAAGCACCGCATTTGATGCACCGCATATAATGATGGGAAATCACCTTCAGGCCCTTACGGGCCTGAATTTTTTTTTCAGGCCTCATAATATACATGAAAAAATTACTCAGTTCTGACTGGTTAAGATAAATGCAGTTTTCAGGTAATTCAATGCAGAAGAGGGTTAATTCAGTGCAAAGAAGTAACAAATCAGACATTTTGATTGGTCAAAGACTCACAGATAGCCAGTGAAATGCGAGCCTTGGATGTCGCAACATTTGGATACGCTGAAAATTTGCGAGCGAAACAATGGCTGGCGTTTTAAGTAGGTTTTCTTTTGCCACCGCAACAACAATACAGCAGCTGAAAAACAGCTCTAACAACGAAAACACTGTAAAAAGAACTGATTTTTGGTTTTCTGTTTGGAAAAAGTGGTGTTTAGAGAAGGGAATTGCCAAGGAAATCGAAAATTATGAGCCGACTCAGCTTAACACTTTGCTCGAGCAATTCTACGCCGAAGTCAAAAACAAACATGGTTCAACCTCGCAAACGACAATCCCATTTCATCGAAGGTGACTCGGACACAGACTGAAAAATTCCTTAAACTGTTTAGCCGGACTTTGAACTTTTTTGCGCCTTAAAGATGCGAAAATATCATTGTTTATTAATTTTTTTGAGAGGGCACGGTAACGAATCTTGCAATCTGATTGGTTCCTTACCCGGTCAGTATTTTCCTATCTCTGCCTACGGGCCACGGTTACGCTTTCGTGAGTCGCCAAGTACATCCCAACTTTCGTTGCCATTTTTCATAAATATATCTCGTTTCTGGGCAGTATTTTTAAGCAAACACTTCGGTCACTACCTCAAGTCGATGAATAACTTATGAATCCTCTCTTTTCTCTCACTCAAATCACTTTGGTTGACAGAAGAATATTGCTTTCAGAATGAATTTGCATAAACAATAAATAGTGTCATTACGTTGGTTGGCAAGCGGCCTAAAACCCGTCTGCAATTAATTTTAATCGTTCACAAAAAGTACCTAGAAAGTTAAAACGTGAAGTATTTGGTTACAGTTAAACTGAACGATGGAACTTTCATTCATTTAATACCTGAATATTCTCAAGCAATTTGTGCGCAGTGAAAGAGCGAGCGAAGTTTTAATTTGAGTTCTACAACAAATAAACGCTCTCGGTGAGTCTTCCCAAGTCCGTTCAGTTTGAGCATTTGTACCGTAAATTGCACAACAGAAACTGAAGGAATTTTTTGAGAAAAGGCCGCATTAAATTCCCTTGTGTCTCGTTTGAGTGTGCCATTCGAATTTAGTTTTTGTGAAGGAAAGACCAGATTTACACACGCCATTCCAGCAAACAAACGGGCAAACTCTCACAACTTCAAAATAAAAAAATTTAATTTACTCAGAATTATTTTCCTCGACGTTTACTTAATGAATAGAGGTAAATCTTCGTACATGAATGAATCGTCGATGAGAGTGAATAATACTTTCCGTTAGATCATTGACTGTTTTTGAAGAAAACATTGTCGTGACAGTCCTTGCCAAACTAGTTCCGTTGTTTTTCAAATGTTCATACGCTTTTTTTACTTACGCGCTCTCTAATTGACAGGTGTCAGATTGTGACAGATACTTGTAAAAATAATGTTTCAAAGTTTGTTTGGAAGCCTTTTAATTATCGTTACGAAAATGAAAATGTTTCGCTGAGGCATCTCTCTTGAATTTGCATCACCTCTATTTTAACTACCATTTACTCGCTCAAAAACTGTTTAGTTTATGGAAGATCTTGCCGCATTTACAGCCCTAAATCATTCGGGTTCTTTCGGAAAGAATTTCGTCAAGTTTCAAAAAAATAAATATGTTATTTACCGGCTAAGGGTCGGTCCGTATGGTGAAAAACTGTGACCTCGGTCTTGTCTTACTCGTGCTTACTTATTCCAAATTGCACTCGAAATCATGTGATTACGTATATTTATTTCAACTACTAGTTCAGTAGTGTTCATAACTGCGAGGATCACTGATATTCGTTTCTTCTACCACAATGCATATATATGATTTAAATTTATTTACAATCACATGAGACAGTGTTGGCATTCCATAGGGTTAAGTCTTACCTTCTCTTTTATTTGGCGAACACTAATTATCACAAGAAAGAATATAACACGAGTGTGTTGTATATGGTCCGTGTTAGCCTTTTATCTGCTAGAAGTGTTTAATATGTAACTCCTCCCCATGATATCAATACTTTATCCGACAAACAGGAAATGAGAATACTAAGACTTATAGATGTTATCTTGATCTGACGCCAAATTCTTGTAATTAACTTACAAGAAAATGTGTAGCAGCTAGAGGGGAGAATTAACAATCAGATCTTGGAAATGAAAGGGTTAATCGAGTTTTTGTTTTCGGCACGGAAGACACCAATCGAAATTCCTTCTTCAAATTGTCGAAGACGGGAGAAAGTTTACCTTTGTCGACGGTGAACAAAGAGTAGAGACGTGAAATAAAATTTTAGCGCGCATTGCAGTCGTTGAGATATGGGATTTACTCAAACATAAAAGATAGACAACAGATATGGATCGTCTGTTCCAGAACACAATTTCTACAAAATTAAATTAATTCAAACTTCTGGGTGAGTGCGTCATAATTACCAAACGGAAATTGTGCACGTCATCAGCGCGCCTTTGTGCACGCGTTACTTTAGATAGCGACAAAATGCCGAATTTTAAAACTTATCGAAGGGAACCATCAGCAATGAGAGCCGAGAGATACAGTACTTTGCTTTCTTGTATCTAAAACAATTTCAGTTTTTTAAAAATTAAAGTCATGGCGACCAGATCAGGACACTGAGATGAATGCTTTCAATTTCTGTTAGCGCTGTTGATCTTGTGGAATTAACGGGTTTACGAGGATGGGTATTTTATGTGGAAAGGAAAAGGGAAAGAGCTTTGCATGATTTGAAAGTGCTTTTCCTGATAAATTAACCTGAATCATACATACCGTTCCTGTATCGGCAGACGTGATACTGTACCAACCAGCTTTCCAAACAACCGGGACTGACTCTGTTCACCGTTCGGAAATATATGCAAATATGTGGAAACGTTTGTCACTGACCGGACGCCAATGCGATAATATTCCGCATTCCAAATGAAAGGAGCAGTGACTGACAACACTCAAAGTAAATACTTCCTGTCATCGCTTTTTACATAGGCATCGAGTGTCGATCGCGTCCGTAACCTTTGGAAAAAAAAGCCTTGCCCTTAGTAACTTATTGATGCAAGTCTATGGCTTTAGAAACGAAAGGTATATGAGCGACACGGCTCACTGGACAAGGGGAAGAACGAGTGAGTAAGAAAACATCACGGGAAATCAAAATCACGAAAATTGAACTAGTAAGTAAATAAAAATCACGGAAGCTTTATCTCCATTTATTTAGGCATCGAGTATCTATCACGTTCCTGGGAAAAATTCCTTAACCCTTACTAAGTTTTTGATGCGCGTTTATGGCTTTAGACGCAAAAGGAATACGAGAGACACAGCTCACTGAACGAGCGGAAGAACTGTGGCGTTTTCGAGTACCGTTACTTGTCGACAAACAAAAAGTTTGCGATCTCTCGCCAACTGCTTCAAGTTAGCAAGACGTGTTGCAGCTCACTACCTGGGCTTTCAAGTTCGTGCATGTAACAGAGTAGCGACACAGGAAAAAAATAATGCTTAAAACTTTCCAAATAAGACTATCATAGATCTTACGATTAAGGCCCCGTAGAGGCTCGGTAGGCGCTACTTCACGGTCTTGAAAACAACTGGGACTGTTTACCGTGCATATTGCGAACGCACGAGGCCGTGTGTGTGTAAGCAGACATCAATTTGACAATTTTCTTCATTTTTGACAAGAAGAAGAAGAAGAAAAAGAAAGGGGAATTTGATAATAAAATGCATTTAAACAAGAATGAACTTCCCGTCTCGAATAGCGCGAGATAAATTGTTATGTTCCTCTTTACAGATTCCATCATCGGTCTGTTGTACTTGTTATCTTTTATTTTTGACTTATCCTCCTTCACTCCCCTTCCCCATTTCGATCAAGAATTCAACAAGCCATAGTTAATATTCACCAACGGTAAAAATGCTCGTGTTGATTCAGATGAAACACAGGCCGCAAACGCAGGGAACCAAAGGCTTCACAAGAGATTATATTCAAATATCACTCCATGCACTATAACGTAATGACGTCCTGGGCTGGGTCGTTCAAAGCTGGGTTTAGATAACCCAGGGTTAGAGTGAAATCGGATTTCAGCTCTGGAAGCTTTTAAGGAAAATTTAGTAGAATTCATTTTGTCAACAATTTGATGATAGGATGCTCCGAAAGAGAAAATGATCCCAAAAAGGCTATCGAAAAAAGAAGTATAGAAACCCAGATTAAAATTTAACCCTGGGTTAGCGCTAATCGGCTTTCGAAAAACTGGGCCCTGAACTTGTTAGGGAGAACGGCAACGCTAACACCGGAAGTCGAAGTAGAGTCGTGTCCAGACTATTCGCGCGCTTTCCCGTTCTGAAATGACGTTCCCGTCCTCTTGCTAAATCACTCTAATAATGGCGAAAAACGTGGAAAGTCGGCGTGTTTTCGCGGGAAATTGAAGAACCCCCCACATATCTCAGTTCTAAAGATAGAGAGATACGCGACAGGGTTGACTTAAGGGTACAATTGGTATAGAGGCTCCGGGTAATGGGCTCCTGAAATAGCTGAAAATGCAACCCCATGCAGTCGTGAAAATGCGACCCTATCCATCGGCATATTGTTAGCCTATCTCTAGGAATTTTAACACTCATCCCCCCTTGACCCCCTTCCACTTAATATTTAAGTGGTAGAAATGGCAAAGAGTGATGAAGCAAATATCGCACATAATCACTCCACGTTGACAATAACCATTCTACCTTGCACTGCTCATACCGTGATTGAAGCATTTCCACGTACGTAAAGTACTTGTAACTTATGGGAAACACACGCATGTTGCACCAAAAAACCCGCGTGTTGCAGAAGAGACCGATTTATCGCAATTTCTCGTAGTTTTGAATTTCCCTTTTGCTTTTCAGTACACGCATATGCTTGTATTTTTTATAAGGATGAAATAGAAATTAATTGGAAAAGCATTCCTTGAAATGGGAAGTCGTCGTGTGTTTTGAGAAAAATATCGTCATTTGATCAAAACAACACCGGCAAGATTATGGTCACGTGCTCGGCAACGATTTATAGAAGAGTCGACGTTAATTTGCATATCCCAAAGTGCTCACAACAACTCGTTTCTATGCTATCGCGTATCCACGAGTTAAAAAGGGTATTACTGAGATTACGCACACTTTGTTATTATTTGAAAATTTTACCCGCCGTTAATATTAGAGAAAGGCTAAAACTAAAGCAAAGCGGCCGAAGTTCACTCAAATGTCAAATAATATTGATCACACAGGAAGTACAGGTCACACAGAAGCGATTGTCTCTTTTAACTCTTACCGAGACTAGACTTTCTTGTGTCCACTATTTAGTGAACGTGGACAATAAGTAAAAAATAATCCCCAGAGGAATAATGATAGCATTAAAAAACTAAGGCCTGCAAAATTCATTCTGCATACCATCTGACCTATGTACACAAACCTACCACCCTTTAACTCCCCCAAGTGATCAAATTACAAATTCTCCTTACAATATCACTACAAGATCAAGCAGACAAGTGATGAGAATACGAAAAGAGTTTAGCAAGGAGATTATTAGTTGATCTAATATCAAATTCTCAGAACTAAAATCATAAGAATCGTATGGCAGGCAGTAAGGAGAATTACTAATGACCTCTTGGGAGTGAAAGGGTTGGCTACATACACACACTCTCAGTTGAGAAACAATCACACTTCAAGGACATCGTGGTTATCCTTGAGAAATTCAGCAGCTTCCGCTTCAACGCATGCTCGGAAGCCTTCACGATGATAGGCGGAGAACATTAAAGGTGTAAAGAATTGATTAGCTGTGCTGTGATTCGGGAACTTGTGGCAGAGGAGCTCAGACAAACCGCTCAGGTGGGACCTTTTGTTACAACATGCACAACAACAGAAGGTCAACTCGTCGACGTCTTCTTCGCTCAGATATGGACTATTCCCCCAGTCACGTGCGTTCAGATGGAAACCAAACTCTTCCCAAGTTTTGACCTCGCTCTCTTCACCTTTTCGTGGATCTCTTGGTCGAATGAACAAAATTTCGCCTTCACCAACTTTGTGGTCGTTTTCGTAGTATTCAACGTTAAATCTAGCGAAAAAAAGAAACAATGGATAAAAATGATTGTTTTGAATCAAGAAATTATAAACTTGTTTGAATTTAAGACCTTCTAGCTTTCATTGACTTTATGCCATTAAAGAAGTTTTGTTACAGTGGTAATTTTTGTGTCTGTAGAACGTCTTTCATCTTAAAAGAGAAAACAGTACTCCGACAAGATGCAATACTATAAAGAGACAGTAATACACCAAGAAGCAAAAAGACTAGCTGAAGATAATTGCAAATAGTGAACACTGTCCAAGCTTCATGCGATACACAAACCTTAGCATGGATCCGAGAACCGAGAATAGACTCGCTATCCCAAATCAGTAGAAAAAATGGGAGCTTATTCTCTCTTGCGCCAACTCAAGGTCATATTTTCCCCTCATTCCCACTTAGGCATACCCTGTTTCAATTTTATCTTAAGATGAATATCTCAGACCCTCCACCTTCCGCTCGGAAAACTGGTGCTTTCCCTGCTTGCGGGTAATCAAGTGTCTGTAGGTCCCGAATTGTCGGTGCTCGACGACAAAGAAGAGACGGTAGTAAATTACGGAAAAGATCATAAACACGTACCTGAAATGTCGTGGTTTTTTTTCATCTGGTTGTTGCAGCCTCACGAAATTCTCCAACAGGTCTGAAATGACGTCACGACCGCCCTGGCCAATAAATGAACAGTTCAGGTCTCTACGAGCCAGCATCAGTGCTTTCAGTAGGTCTTTTCCATACTTCTTCTCATTGGAATAGTAACCGCCATCCACCACAATAATTTTCTTGAGTTTCTTCTTTAACAATGGCAAAATAGCAAGATTTTCCACGTGGCCTCCATCGCTGAGTAGCATGACGGGAGGAGGCATGGGTCCGATGTTTTCAATGTTTAAGCCTTCTCTCACGAACTTCACAAAGGACACGTGCACGATGAACCACCTTGGTAAAAAAACATTATACATATTTGTTTAAAGGGGGTAAGTTTCTACAGAAACTGTGATGTTGCGTCGGTGGAAGGTATTACAAGATGATTTGGTTTTGTCAACGCAGTTGATAATGTAAATGGGCCTCCATAAATAGATTCTAAATTCTGATGTTTCGAGCGTTGGCCCATCGTCAGAGTGAAACATATGCATACAAAGAAGGACTGTTTATTTAACAAATGGTTGTTTTCATACCGTGAGCTGAGAATTCTACCCATCTCGGTGATTTGAGTGGGCTCAAGTCGTATGACGATTTACAAAGTAACCATAATGATCATATATATTATATATAATTATAGAAAGCTTTCATTTCAATTAACTTCTGATCAGGATTAATCTGGTCGCCATGATTGAGGCATGGACGTTTTGGGTTTCTTCAACTTATCATTTAGAGCGATTCCAGTGGTGTGTCAAAGGAACACAAGAGTTGCTTTAGTTTTACTCAAAATTCTGGACCACCTTCTAAACTAATCACCAATTTTGTCATGCTTATTTTTCTTGCCCTTTAGGCTGGTTGCATTGAACAATTTACCACGAGTTCTCACGGGCTCCTTCGAAGATTTCCCATTGTTCAGATTGGCATTTTTGAGTATTTTGGTTTGGGTCTATCCACGCCATCGTAAGATGATTAGATTTATACAATCCTTACCTGGCTATCTTCTCCCATAAGTTTGGGTTCGGAGCTCCTGTATCAGCGAGAGCTCCAATGCAAGCCAACATGAGGTGAATTGCAAAGAATGTGAATACTCCTGCTTTAATTGACCACACATCTCCTCTGCTATAGTAAACCGCTGGTACAGCGATCAATGGAAGACCACGGAGAATGTTGATGAGAATTGGGAGGAGCTGTTGTAAAGAGAAAAAGATACATGCAGGCCTGAAGCATTAATAAGGGACAGAGTCAAGGAAGTCACCTTACTGTTACTCTGTTTCAACATGATATGTACTTGCCAAGCAAGTATTATGCTTAGAGATCGGTCATTATTTATCACGGGGAAGGGAGAAGGGGAGGGGGGGATGGGGGGAGTGGTTGGAAAGACTTTTAGAGGTGTCACAATAAAATTTACCAGAATTTCCCATAAGGTTTTATGGGAAGACAGGTAATGTTTGTCCTTTATAATCTGTTGGCCACGACTGATCTCTTCCCCCCTGAAAACCCTATGATTCCTTTAAAATCCTGCCTTTCCCGAAGCTCCCCCCTCCTGTTCCGTCAGAGCAACTGATCTCAACTGCATTGGGGTACTCTCAGCATGGTCTGTCCTTGCCAAACGAATATAATTCTCAGAGAGAAACTCTCTGAGAAGGCCAAAACTCTACAGCAGTCCTGCTGGAGTTATTGTAAGATGAAAGTTATCTGTTCCCTGGTTGGGAAACCTCTTACCTTCATGAGCCATCTCTCCTTTTTAATTGCCTCGAGGTTGCTGATCACTGTGGCTCCCATTTCGAGTCCAAGAATCGTGGAAAGGCGGATTACCTCGAGGTTATTATCGTATCTGGAAATCGCTGCTGCAGACGTCGCCATGGCGTCTGACAACTCTATATCTTGAGGCCTCAGCTTATCTTTAAATGGATCGACAGTCGATGGATCTCGATCTAAACGTTCTATTGTGGTAGGCGACATTGTCAGGAGATCATCATCCGAGTCAGAATCTTCCTCTTCCTTCCAGCTGTGGATAGTCATGTTTGATATATATTCAGGCGATATATATTCAGGCTCTACGTCTCTGAGATCTGCCAGGTTCAAAGATCTTTTATTTGCTGAATCAATGTCATCCTCCAAAGAATCAAGGTTACCTCTCTGTTCTCTATGATACGACCACTTCTTCTGTTTTCTCTTCAGACATGTCCATAAAGGGCAGAAAATGTCATGGAGCATTTCCAGACATTCCTTGGTAGCTAAACTTTCCTTTGAGTAAAATGCCTTCTGAAGTCTCCATCTACAAAGTGGTAGAGTTAAAAGTGATTAAGTTGGTAATCATTACATAGTAAACATTCTGCAGATATGGTAAACGCTGTAGCCTAAATGTTAGTGAGCTGAACTTCGAATTCTAGAGATCGAGAGGTCTGGGTTCGAGATCTGGCTGGGTCAATGTGGTGTGTTCTTGGGCGAAACACTTAACTATCACAGTTCCTCTCTCCACACAGGAATAGAAATGGTAGCAGCGAATTTTCAGGGAAGCCTGATGAAATTCCTGGGGATTACCTTGTGATCGACTAACATCTCTCCCTGGGGAGAGTAGAAGTACTCCTAGTCATGCTAAGATAGCTGGGATAAGCTCCGGCTTGGAGGGGGGGAGGGGGCCACTTGGCTCCAGTACCGACCTTACCTTTCTTTTCTACGGATGAACATTACTTTTTTGTGTCTTACCTGTTGAAGACATGGCTGAGCCTTTTCCGTGATTGTGCCATGTAGGGAACAAACCACATAATAAACCCAGAGGCAAAAAGCAGCCTATTAAACAGCCCATCAGAATACACAACACCAACAACCTTGGCTTCGTACACTTTCCAGTAGATGATGTAAGAGTAGAGATAGATTATAATGCCGTAGGACGTTTTGTCCCGCAACAGAGGTAGGACGAACCATAGTACCACACCAATCACTACAATGATCGCCCGACTCCACAGGGGGATTTCAATGAAAAAATCGTGGATTGCAAATGGGAGGAAAGTAAGAGAAAGAAGTAAGAAGGAAATTAGTGAGAAAAGTCTGAAATATTTAGACTTCCTCCTGGATAACGTTTGCGACAGAATAAAGAAGATGACAAATAACACGAGCAGAACTGAAAACAGGGAAATCATAGAGAAAGCTACGGTTTTTTGACGAGAAATACAGTGTTTCCGGATTTCTTGCGCCGTAGTATTTGTGTTACTTGGAGAAGAGGTTGATGCAACGTGATCACAATCCACTTTAGCTCGAAGTAACTTTCCGAAGAGGTAATCGATGATGAAGGCAAGTGGAAATGCGTATGATCCATATATGACAATCGGTTCAATGACGGTGACAGTGAGTACGAGGAGGAACATCACAATCGTATCAAGGACTCCTTGACGTGGCCTCTCCCAGTTACAAAAATAACCAGCTCTTTGTCGCATGTTGTCAAAGAAGTCTTCATGCCATTCTTCGCTGTCCTCTGTTTTCTTCTCTTTTCTGTATTTCCAATCCAAAAAGGATGTGCCCGTGTAACCACCCCCTGACACGCAGCTCAGATAGTCTACTTTCGCTTTATCCTTTAGCAGCCTGCGCAGGACCCCAGAGCATAGTGCCGCTGACCGAATGCCACCACCAGAAAAAGCCAAACCAGTTTTATTAGACGTCATGTTGTCTGAAAGTGTAAAAACTTATTGTTAGTTACAAACACCAACGGAACCGTACCACCTTTTAGATCCAAACTTGTAGGATCTACGCATAACACCAGTTTAAAACCAGTGGTCGAAACATATTACCCCCTTGTCTTTACAGAAAAAAAATGTTCTCCCTCCTTAATAGATTTGCACCTGAATGATTTCCGTATGGCTTATTGAGGATATTATTCTTTTAGGGTTAAAACTCGTCACTTACGTCAAGCCCACGTAAAGTGAAATTGTTCATACGATACCAAACATTGCTTTGGGTTAAGTATAACCCTCTATTTCATTTAGCGAACACCAATTATCACAAGAAAGAATATAACACGAGGACATTGCATATGGTCCATGTTGGCCTTTTAACTCCCAGGAGTGTTTAATATGTAACTCCTCCCTATGATTTTCATAATTTATCCAGCAAACAGGAAATGAGAATACTACGACTTATCAGATAGACGTTATCTTGATCTAACACCAAATTCTTGGAACTGATTTACATGAAAATGTGTAGCAGCTAGAGAGGAGAATTAACAATCAGATCTTGGGAGCCTGAGTGAAAAGGTTAATCGAATTTTTTTCGGTTATAGAAGACATCAATCGAAATTCCTTCCTCAAATTGACGAAGATAAAAGCAAGTTTGCTTTCGTAGACGGTGAACAAAGAGTAAAGACGGGAAAGAAAATTTTAGCGCGTTGTTCAGTCCTTGAGATATGGGATCTAATCAACCATAAAATTAAGACAACAGATATGCAACGTCTGTTCCAGAACATAATTTCTACATAATTAAATGACCTCAAACTTCTGGGTGAGTGCGTCACAATTACCAAACGGAAATTGTAACCCGTCATCAGCGCACCGTTGTGCACGCATTACTTTAGATGGCGTCAAAATGCAGAATTTTAAAATTTCTCAAAGGGGACCATCAACAAGGAGAGCTAAGATTAAGATGTTATTTCAAACAATTTAGGTTTAGGCGAGATACGAGACAGCGAGTGTCAAGCTAAGAGAACAGGCTTGGCAAGAACTAACAAGTGTAGGTCAACCAAGTACGATTACAATTACAATCTACCAACTACAATTTTTTTCTTTAAACAGGGTGATTTGTGAGCAAACTGTGAACTTCAGAAAAATGAAAGTCAAGGCGACCAGGCCAGATCACTGGGATGAATGCTTAAAGTTTCTGTAGGCATCTTGTGGAATTAACAGGTTTATGAAGATGGGAATTTTATGTGGAAAGGAAAAGGGAAAGAGATTTGTATAATTTGAAAGTGCCTTTCCGCTGAGCTCCAGCGTCGCTGATGAAATAACCCTGAATTATACTTACCGTTCCTGCATCGGCAGACGTGTTACTGTACTGACCAGCTTGCGAAACAACTGCAACTGATTCTGTTCACCACTCGGACTGCAAATGTATGGAAAGATCTGTCACTGACTGGACCCCAATGCGATAATATTCCGCGTTCCAAACTTAATAGGACACAAATTAAAGGAAGTCAATCCACAGGCAGTGAAAAACACTCAAGTAAATACTTCCCGTCACGAACAAGGAGAGATAGCCACATGTTCGTATGTGGAGACTCCTTCCTCTACCTGATATCGTTACGTTTTTTTTTAACTCTACTCTTGTTGAGCTCCTTTTCTCATTAAGAAATGTGGGTGTCTTAACCCTTTACACCGTGTCATCAGTATCAAATTCTTCCTACTGTCCTTCATAGATTTCCTATGACAATTACAAGGAGAATTTGTTTAATAATCAAGAACTTTTGAGTTCACAATCATTTCTTTTATTCTCACAACCTTAAAAGTTGATTCAAGGGGTTATAGTGTTGGAAGAAATTAGATGCTTATCGCTCTTAGAGTATAAAGGATTAAAGCACCCATGCCTGACTGTTCATTGTTCTTTCTGCCCTTTGGCCTGATGATGTGCTGTCTTCCGTGAAGTGTCTACATCAACTTTACGAGTCTCTCTGTCAGTTTTCAATAATTGCAGTCACCCTGAAGAAACATCTGGCTATCTTAAAAAGCCCTAGGAACGAGGTTGGTGGTTTCATCGACTTCAGGAGGGTTCCCTCCACTGTTTTAAGTAGTTTCCTTCAACCATCGAGTTATGCAAACAGACCATTTTTCAAAACTTGCGACTGAAAATCAAAACCACGGAAATATTGGACAGTTACCTTCCTTTATTCGGTGGGCCTGTAAAGTATCATGATAGCCAACCCCAACCATAAAAAAAGTTAGCAAGACGTAATCTCCATTACAGCTTAGCATGAAAAGAAATCAGACAGACACCTGAAGCATACCGAAGTTACGGTTCGAATATCATGTCAAAATTAGCATAGATATTCAAGTTGGTCGGTTCCACTCACGTCAGTACTCGCCATCCTTAGCTGTCCAGGTTATTCTCGGGTCTTACTTTGCGTAATTTGGTATTTTGATCACACGAAACGGGTAGTTTGTGGAAACATTGAAGACTTAAAAAATGGAAACATTTTAAACATTCAACCTCTTTCTAGAGAGGGAAGATGCGAAATTGAAGCGGCCGAAGTTCACTCAAGTGTCGAACAATATCGATAAAACATAAAGTGAAGGTCAAAAACAAGTGGTTGTTCCTTCCGGTTAAACGGTTTGCGGTTGACACTTTAACTTCCTTCCTAATTTTGTTACAATTGAATAAGTGACTTGGTATTGGCCATTGCGGAAACCAAACAGTTGGAATAGAATAACATGAAGCTAAATAGTTCAACGGCACAGTTGAATGAACAATTTTAATTTGTGTCATTTCATTGTTTAAAGATTTTAAAGTGGTTGACGCATTTCAAGGACTGAGACTGTTACAAGTTTGTTTATCATTTCGCTAGGAATTTCAAATTGCTCGCAACCAGTACTTTTAGGAAGCAAAGTCAGATCATTCAAATCATAGAAAACTTTCTCCTTTAATCAAGATTCGAATACATTTTTGAATGCCATTATCTATCAGCAGCTCATTTTTTGCATAACAGGTCAGTGTACGTCTTTGTCTAATCTCATACCCAGATTCTACCGTGTAACGATCATTACCATCGTCACTAATTCCTACTCCAAAAAACAATTACGCCATCCCTGTCCGTCGCTCTTGATAAATTCTTGTTATAATCGGTCAAAACGCGATTTACCCTGAGGTTTATCTCGCAATTCTCTTGATTCACCGCGAAAGTGAAGTGTTTAATCAGTTTGATGATCGAAATAAATCTAAAATCGATCACCGCTTTCTAGAAAACAACTAAATAATGAAACCAGACATTCGATCAAGAGCTTGAGCTTCATGAACTTTAGAATCATCAACGTGTCCTTACACATATACTTCCTCTCGACAGTAACAAATCGACTCCAAGAAGTATCAATACCACCACCTTCGCTAAATCGTTCAATACTTTAGATGAGGATATCTGAAACGCCACAAAAGTGAATTAAAGGTATGCTTGGACGACCAGTTAAGATAAAGACGCAATTTCCGGTCATTCAACTCATCTTCCTGTCTCTATCTTATTCGCGTATATATGGTCTGTGGCCTTTTGGATAGCTTGATATATTTTAACCGTATATATTTTAACTGCAATTAGTTTAGAACGCATTTGGAACCAATAAGATAATAGCCTTGATAAAACTACTTGATCATTCAAATTCCATAATTTTCATGTATTTACTTATCAATCAATTTACCGTCCATATACATTGAACATAAGTTCGAGGACCAATCAGCTCAAAGCGCGATTGAACTAGCTCAGTATCAACGCTAGGCAAATTTTAACTGAAATCGGTGAGATGGCATTAGCATCTGGTGCTCTCGTGGACCGGCACACCCTCAAATCAGCTGACAGCAGCTATACCAGCTCTGTAGAATGATTTTATCTCAGCTTCTTAGGATTAGCGCCAATCTTCTTACGAACGATCCTTTAATAAGCATTTACATATTCAGCAGCGGTTATTTGATTCACATATTCAATGTCGCTGTCTTCTGTTGATTTCACAAGGGAAGTGTACATTCGGGAACCATCGTTTTCAGAGGTCTGCAAAATATTCAGTTTTATATGTTAGAAAAATTGTGTTATTATCGACTTGGCAGGCTTGGTAATGCTGGAAAACACGACTAAAATCGCCGGTGCAAATGAAAAAAAATTGAAGGAAACCATAAACACTGCCAAGTGAAAATTAGACATTCATTCAAATACATTTCTAGTGAAGGTTTTGTAAGACACTACGCTTAGAATTCATTGCCTGTTTCCAAATGAGACCCCTTTATCCGCCTTCCTAAAAAGGTCATATTCAAACGGGTGAAGTTTGAAACAGATATAAAGGAAAATAAGGATTTAGATGGATGAAAAAAATTTGATGAAAAATAATGGTAAATGGATAAAACAATAAAACTTGTATAATATGAAAAGTTTTATGTTAAAAGACCACAGTCAAGGTGCGTCAGAGTAGCAATATAAGTGCAGGGAAAGGGGCACATGCAGAGAACAAAGAAGAACAGCTAAAAAATTGAAAAAAGGAAGTACAATGTATGGCACATCCTTTAGTCCCTTTTTGAATAAGGCTCATATTGACAAACTCTAATTTTGTTGTAAGTATAATTACCATCATTGACTCCGGAGACAGGGCGGTGTACACACCCTCCTGTTGGACAAGCGGTTCAGTACGGAGCCTCTCAATCCCGGTTCCATTTCTCGAAGCAAACTCTGGCCGGGCATCAATATTCAAAGTATTTAACGCTAAGCTCTCTTGAAAGTCTCGTTGACTCCTGTAGAAAGAGAGAAAAAATTAAAAACAAACAAATAAACAAACAAACAAAAGTAAAAAGAAAAGAGGGAAAATGTCCATGCTCATTATTAATGACTTCTAAAAATGGAATTAGACTGACGGCAAAAGTAAGACGAACAAACTTTTAAAACTTTAAACAACGAACAACGAGCAGCACCCCATATTTATTTGGCGAATATTCATGAATGTGATATCTACTCAACTTATTAGAAAACCATTTCTGTAAGTAAATATGGGAATAGCACAAATCTATGATATTATATAGGCTCTTGTCCACAGGCTCTTGAGCGAATACAGCTACATTGGCTTTTTGACTTTTGTCACTTTTCACAGCACAGAACCATCTGTATCTGCATTTCTGGGTAAGTTTTCTACCGTCCCAAAACGGCCGAAAACTTTTTGTTACACTCAAAAACAAACTGAGTGAATAGTTAAAATGGATGTCACAGAAAAAATGTTTTCCTTCCGAATAATTTTTTATGTATTGTTTAAGAGATACACTCGGCCTTAATTTACATGTGCACCAGACTGAATAAATGACGAATAAAAGTGACACAGAAGCAACTTACGTTTTGACAGCTTTGTTTCTTGAGGCTGGTGGATGAAATCAAATACCACCGTTAGCAGCAAACACAGAAATAAATAACTTTTGTTTTTTTCGAAAGGTTTCAATTTAGGTTGTTGGAAAAACAAAATGATGCCAAACTTCCGATTTGTCGGCAGCATTTTAGTAGAACACACACATACACTTGATACTTTGGGTTAACAAATTAACAACTTGACAGCGAAGAGGTAGTCGCGAAGCTTACTGGTGATGTGACCAACCATTTCCTTTGAGCACGTCATGTAAGACAGTCATTTTACTCGGATTTATTGCAGCGTAATTTTATGATCCTTTAAGTATGATTTTCTCCAGAACCATTCAGTTTTACAAGGCAGCATAACATTGAAGTCCACGACACTTTAGACTTAGAGGGTGTAATTTATTTCTTCGCCACAACTCGGTTTATCTTTCCGTTTTTTTTTTTTTAGTTATTTACCATTATTAATGTTTTCATTCTTTATTTTTTCACTTTCTTTCACTACTTTTAAGTTTCTTTGCCAATTACATTCATATACATCTCTAGAATTGTTGTTGAATCATGACTGAATGATATGTCAATCAAGCTTGCCCCTAAATTGTCTTGATAATAGAGATGGCTTAAAGTCAAGTTGAATTTAAAGGAAAATGCAAATAAAATCCGAGTACCTATTTGATGTTGTTTTTTTCGAAGCAGTATCAAAACCACGGCGAGGATGATCATGACTATAAACAAAAATGCTGATAAAATAGCGATTGCCAGATAATGGGAAAAGCAGTTGGTGTCTTTCTTGAGGTCATCGACCTTCGTCACTACTGGAAATGTGGTCGTCGGGGAAGTTTGAACCGTCAACAAAGCTTAAAGAAATAAAAGTCGAGCTGATAATTAGGTTGACCTCACTGACACAGGATAACACATGGAAAGAAATGGAAAGAGAGAGGGCTGCTTGAAAGTCTCGCATAGGGAATCCCTTAAGGTCATTACTTTGTAGAGCTTAAAATATTAAAAGCTTTTCCCTATGAATAAGAAACCGCAGCTGAACTTTCTTTGTTGATTTCGCCGTGGTAGGAGTGAGGTCAGTTTTTCCAAGTCCCTGGATTTAATGCGTTTAGAGTACTTAATTTTTAAGGTTTTTTTGGGGTTTTTTTTTTTGGGTTTTTCTCGAAACGTCTACATACATATCCTTAAAAGTGCTTCTGGCTGATATAACTGAATACTTGACCAAGTGACCAATCTTTAAACTAGCAAATGAACACAATATGGATATTGCTCGTCTATATATCTTAAAATCAACAATCGATACATGATTGATTGTTATCTTACCTGATAAAGTATTGCTTTTATGTTCAGATGATGTTTTGCCTTGTGTGGTAACAGCTTTTGTCCCAGCTGATGTTTTAGGAGGACTTGTGCTTGTTGGAACAGGATGGACGAAGCAAATCCCTTGACAGGTAGCTGTTAAAGAAACATAACTACTGTCCCTACAACTATACATTTCTCGAGTGGCATCCCGATACTCACTCAAGAGAAGTGTACTGTTTCTCAAGCTAACTCAATACCTCGAATGAGTTAAAAAGTTTTTATGTCACGTCCCTATAATTTACGAAGCTTTAAGTACATATGCGACTGATCACGGTCTGCTTCCTTGATGGTGAAGGACTATCAGTGGTAAGGTGATCGCAATAGGCGGCCTTCGGAAAGAGTAGGGTGGGGATAGGAAAGATAAAGGAAGGGGAAGGGTGGGGGGGCGTGAGTTTAGTCTTCAGAAAATTAAAATTCGTGTTTCACAACAGCGTATGACTAAAAAATATATTTTAGTCTTTCTGGTACTGATTAATACCTGTTTCTTTCTCGCAAATCCATTATCTCTCTAGGTCGCCCCTAACGGTACTAAATGATCCTTAAAATCCTTTTGGATATTCCTTAGGAATAATCCCGTAAGAGTCAGTTGGGTGACTAAAATATGATTGAATATGCGGCTAGGATCACGGTCTACTCCTCCGATGCTGATGGACTATCAGTGGTAATTAAGGTGATCGCAATAGGCGGCCGTCGGAAAGAGTAGGGTGGGGATATGAAAGATAAAGGACAGGGAAGGGAGGGTGAGTTTAGCCTATAGAAAATTCAAACTCTTGTTTAACAACAGTTTTTGATTCAAAAAATGTTTTTGTCTTTGTGGTACTGATCAATACCTGTTTCTTCCTCGCAAATCCATCCTCTTCGTACGTCGCCCCTAAAGGTGCCAAATGTTCCTTTAAATCCTGTTGGATGTTCCTTAAAAATCAGCCCGTAAGAGTCAGCTGGGTCGGGATTGTTGCCCTCCTTAAACCATTTGTCAATAGTCACAGATTTACCATTGATCCAAGTCCATCTCTGCGTTGTTAAATTTTTTTTCAAGCCTATAAACCATTCATTTTTTTGGTTGCCTGTTTTATTTTGAATCTCATTTGTAATAAATTGCCATTCCTGCTCTGATTCCATCACTGCGAGCATTTTATTGTTGGATTTACAGGAGTCCCTTGCATTTGGCCATGACCATCGTCTTTTATTGAAGGTATAACACGAACATAGCCTCTCTCCATCTAGAATAACACAATTACATAAAAGTTGGACTAATAATTAATGACTGTGAAGTATGCCTTTGCGTGTCTGCGAGACAATGCACTGTACTGGGTTAACTGTTGCGTGCAGAAAGTTAATTTTGATTTTTCTCGGAGACAATCGTTATCATCATTTTACCCCTCTGAAGCGGCCCTTATTTACACAGAAGGAGGATCTGGGGAATAGCGACTATGTTTCAACCTTCTTGAAATTCACCCACATCCACAAGAAAGACGGGCGCTAAAAGTTAGATTATCTAAGACCCTATCAAATCGTTATAATTTCCCATGGAACACACCTGGGTTGCGTTACACATTGCATGTCATGTGCAGTTTACCGTGATGTCAATTGGTCACGCAAGTCACGCTGTACATTACAATAGTTTTTCAACCTTAAGAAGATCAGCGTACTGTCGAGATGAATTCAAAGCAAAGAGCAATATAGCTACAACTGGATGAAAGCTAGTGGAGGATGTTGGGTTATTAAACATTATTATTAAACTAACTTTACCCAGGGTACATAAATTTGATCATCAATGATTTCACACGCTAACTGCCACTTCCTTCTCCTTGCAAATTATTCTATCCTCGTCCGTCGCTATGCTTGCCAATATTGAAAAAAAAATTTCCTACTTAATCAAAACGCATTTTATCCCGAGGTTCTTCACTCAAGAATTCTTTTTCTCTTAATTCAACTCGAAAGTAAAGTGCTGGGTCAGTCTGCCGTTGAGATTAAATCTAAAATCAAACGCCACTATCTCGAGTAACCAAATAATGAAACTCGACATGCAATTAAGTGCTTGCACTTTATGAACTTCAGAATTATCAAATATTCCTCTCTCACTTACCTGTTCTCGACAGTAACAAATTAACTTCGAGAATTATCAGTACATATACCTTCACTAAATCCATCGTTCAGTGCTTTGGATGAGGATGTTTATTAGGCCACGAAAGAGAAAGTTGCGCTCGAACGACTAAATGAGATTCCGACGCAATTTCTGGTCAGTCAAGGTGTGACTTGGGAGGAAACAGCGGAAGTTTGACAAGACATCACGCTCAAGGAAAATTTTAATTAAGAACAGGCAATGAGAAAAATTTAGAATGAGGAAAAACCACACTAAATGTTAATTTCAGCTTTTCTCCTTAGCTTTAGATTATTGAAAGAGATACAAAGTGTTCTGGTTTAATTCAAGTAAAGCAAAGGGGTATTGGGTTGTACAGCATGCACTGTGTTATGGAAAATTGCAAGAAAGGTCTTCTTTCCGAAAAGTCTCGTAAAAATTCGGAACTAGATAGATTAAATTTTTATGTCACATTTGATCGATGGCAAATTTGTCGCGCCATATTCGACAACGATCGTTGCACGACATTTTCAATCAATAAGCTGTCGCGATCTACATGAGGAAGTTGCGCTCGAATGACTAATTGAGATTTCGACGCAATTTCCGGTCAGTCAAGGTGTGACTTGGGAGGAAACAGCGGAAGTTTGACAAGAATTCACGCTTCAAGGAAAATGTGAATCAAGGAAAATGTGAATTAAGAACAGGCAATGAGAAAAATTTAGAATGACGAAAACAACACCAAATGTTAATGTCAGCTTTTCTCTTTAGCTTTAGATTATTAAAAGAGAAACAAAGTTTTCTGGTTTAATTCAAGTAAAGCAAAGGGATATTGGGTTGTGCATTAAGGCAAATTGCGAGAAAGATCTTCTTTCCGAAAAGTCTCGTAAAAATTCGGAACTAAGATAGATTAAATTTTTATGTCACATTTGATCGATGGCGAATTAGTCACTCCATGTTCGACAACGATCGTTGCACAACATTATCAATCAATAAGGGAAGCTGTCGCAAAACTCGAAAGTAAATTGCTGGATCAGTTTGACGTTCAGAATAAGTCTAAAACGTCACTATCTGTAGTAACCCAGTAATAAAACTCGACATTCGATTGAGTGCTTGCACTTAATGAACTTTAGAATTATCAAATATTCCTCTCTCACTCACCTGTTCTCGACAGAAACAAATCAACCCCGAGAAGTATTAATACATACATATACCGCACTAAATCCATCGTTCAAAGCTTTGGATGAGGATGTTTATAATGCCACCAAAGAGAAAGTTGCGCTCGAACGACTGATTGAGATTTCGACGCAATTTCCGGTCAGTCAAGGTGTGACTTGGAAGGAAACGGATCAATAAAACGTGGACCTATTTCCATAATGGAAGCCTCTACTTCCTTTTCAATCCAAACGACCATGTTGTGTACTGTGAAGTGTGTTAAAGTAAACTGCGAGATAATTTTACTCTAAAGATATCAAAATATAATTTACCAATCATTTTTTACAAAGGCAAGTCATTTTGGTAGTAAGTTTTGTAATTTGAAGCGTCGGATGCGTAAGATATCAGATTCAGTCTTCAAGTATCAATCCCGTACAAACTAAACTCATGAAGTCTTTAAACCATTTGTCAATAGTCACAGATTTACTATTGATCCAAGTCCATCTCTTTGTTGTTGAATTTTTTTCCAAGCCTATAAACTATTCATTACTTGGGTTGCCTGATTTGTTTTGAATCTCACTTTTAATAAATTGCCATTCCTGCTCTGATTCCATCACTGCTAGTGTTTTATTGTTGGATTTACAGGAGTCCATTGCATTTGGCCATGTTCATTGTCTTCTTTTGAAGGTATAACACAAACATAGCCTCTCTCCATCTAGAAGAACACAATTACTTTAAGTTGGACTATTAATTAGTGAAAGTGAAGTGTGTCTCTATGTGTCTGTGAGAGAATGCACCATTTACTGGGTCAACTGTTATGTGCAGAAAATCAACTTTGATTTTTCTCCGAAACAATCGTTATCATTATTTCCCCCCCCTCTGAAGCAGACCTAATTTACACAGCAGGAGGATCTGGGGAATAGCGACCATGTTTCAACCTTCTTAAAATTCACCCACATCACAAGAAAAATGGGCGCTAAAAGTTAGATTATCTCAAAAGACTCTCTCAAATCGTTATAATTCACATGACTTTCTTTTAAACAAGCAAGCAGTGTAATATACTAAAAAGTCAGCACATTGTATAAATCCGTTAATTTTTCCATGGAACACGCCTGGGTTGCGTTATACTTAACAAATAGAAAAGCCTTGACTGTGCTCTGTTCTGTTATAAAGCACGCACGAAGCGGCTCGAGCACGAAATAAGTGTAGGGAGAAACACGAGACGTAGTCGAGTGTTTCTCCTTACACTTCTCTTCCCACTTCTTGAGTACCATCAAAGTTCACATTCTGCAATTGTTTACATACTTTTGCCTGAAGTTTTTTTAGTCTCTAATACAGAATGTGGAGGTGAAATGTTCAGTGAAATCCGGCCGAATTGTGGCTCATAAAAACACGCAAGTTTTTTCACATGACAAATGGTAAACAAACGGCTCAAGGCGAGTTTTACGAATGAACGACAGCCGAATTCACCGGAACATGAAGATTGCTCGGGATGACAGAGCCGTAAAACTCGGTTGCAGTGACTGACGTGGCCTTCACCACTCAACTCATCGGAAAGGACATCAGAGCAAGCTCTTAGTTGTTCACTCAAAGGGCGGTCGATGTAATTTCTGAGGCTTGCTTCACTGGCGATCTCCGAGCCAGCCACGTTAGACCTCAGCATAACACCGTCATGATTAGTATGAATTATAACAGTTATGCCACTCTGGCTATATTTTTTATCATTCCTGTTTTGCTCTGTTTTGTTTTTGAACTCGAACTTTATATGCAATACGAGTGTTAGCTGTGTTTGATTTTTATTACCATTCGTGAGCTTGCAATCTAACTGAGCGTGAAAACCTTCAAAACTCGGACTGTCCATTTCGTTTTCTCTTTGAGGATTTTCGTCTCTGCTCACGTTATAATAACGTCAATTACGGCGCCTGGCATGTTTATAAACCTTTGTTTGGTTGTTCTGTTGCTACTTGCCGGCTCGCTTGTTTCGAAGTTTCACTTTTAATTAACGAAAAAAGGCTAGAGAAAAGTCCTGGAAAAGGTCGGACATAATCCAATTTGGCAGATGGCGTGACATTGCACAGTATACATAAATTTGATCATCAATGATTTCACACGCCAACTGCTACTTTCTCATTGCAAATTATTTTATCCTCGTCCGTTACTCGGCTTGCAAATCTTGAAAAAAAAGTTTTCCCTGTAAATAAAAACACATTTTATCCCGAGATTCTTCACGCAAGAATTCTTTTTCTCTTAATTCAACTCGAAAGTAAAGTGCTTGAGATTAAATCTAAAATCAAATGCCACTATCTCTAGTAACCAAATAATGAAACTCGACATGCAATTAAGTGCTTGCACTTTATGAACTTCAGAATTATCTGATGTTCCTCTCTCACCTACCTGTTCTAGACAGTACCAAATCAACCCCGAAAAAATCATTCATACACCTTCACTAAATCCACCGTTCAGTGCTTTGAATGAGAATGTTTAAAACACCACGAAAGAGAAAGTTACGCATGAACTACCAATTAAGATTTCGACGCAATTTCCAGTCATTCATGGTGTGACTTGGGAGGAAACAGCGAATAAATGACGAGAGATCACGCAATCAAGAACAGGCAATTAGAAAAATTTAGAATAGGAAAAACAACACGAAGTGTTACTTTCAGCTTTTCTCTTTAGCTTTAGACTGTCAATGGGGAAGCAAAGTGTTTTGGTTTAATTCAAGTAAATTAGGGGTGTATTGTGTTGGATACTTTTGTGGAATGTTCAAGTCTTAAAAGCTTTACCCGCGGGATTGAAGTCGACAAGGTCAGGTACTTTTTTTGGAAACTTTACGCCATAATTAAGGAAAAAGCTTCGACTCAAGATTTTTCCCCTTCATCCAACTTCCTGTCTCCCGCTTATTCATGTATTCATGGTCAGTGGCCTTTTGTATAGCTTGATGTATTTTAACTGCAGTCAGTTTCAGATGCATTCGGATCCACTCAAGCATTAACATACTCAGGAGTAGGTATTTGATTCACAGGTTAAATGTCGGTGTCGGGCGCTGAAAGTTACATTAATTAACTAAAAACTGTTTTGAATCTTTCCAATTACTTAATTTTTAACTTGAACGAGCAAGAAGTGTAATATATCATATTAAATAATAATTAATTAAATAATTAATAATTTCTTTCAATTAAATAAAAAATAAATTCAGTCAGTACATTGTAGAAATCCAACAATTTTCTCATGCAACACACCCGTACTGACCCGACTGACACAAAGGAAACAGCTTTAAAGCTACAACTAGATGAAGGATAGTGAAGGATGTAGGGTTCTTTGATATGTTTGTTAAACCAACATTATTCAATATACATAAATCTGATCACTACTATCCACTAGTTCCTTTTGAAAAAATACTATGCTATCCTCGTCTCTGACAGAGGATTTGTTGTTTCTTTTGGGGTCGAAGGACTCCCTTTTTCAGGTTCGGAAGCTCGCCAGTGTGTGTGGTAAAATTTTTTCGGCGCTTGGGAACTGCATCGGGAACATAACTAGGCTCATGACCAGAGATACCTTTGCTGTTGTTAACTCTGTCACGAATTGGAATTCTCTTGTCTCTCTAGCGCCTGATTGCATAAATGAATTAAACTATTGGAAAGACAATCTTGCTACCATCAACGGTGTGCCTTTGTGGCCCGTGAAGCGCAAACCAACGAAAATTGTATACCCAGATGCGTCCAATTCAGCCTGCGGAAGTTGAATTCAGTTCGTGGAAATAATCCTTCTCCAGAATTGGTCAGATTTAGAGAGCTCTCGGAGCTCCGAATTTCGTGGGTTCCTTGCCGTTTCACTGTCTTTTCAAGCGTTTATAGACTCCCTCGAGGCACAGACTGTTGTCGGCTACACAGATAATCAGAACGTTGTCTGCATCGTGAACATTGGTTTTAAAGTTCCAGCTTTACAGAAAATAGCTCTTCGTATCCATCGATGTTGTCTCATCAGAGCCA